AGAAGCAGGAAAAACAGCGTAATATACCATCTGACAATGACAGATTTTTATTTTTGGATATTTTACAAATCACTCCCCTTTCAAACTCTATTCTTGTTATTTTTAACAACTTTTTTTTGTTACTGTCATATAGTATTTTATACCTGTTAATAATTGAGTCTCTAATGTCTCATTACTGACTATAATGATCATATCAAGGTGTGCCTTAACCTCACTGAGCTGAGGTTACTTGAGCCTCTCAGGAGAGAGCTCTCTTCCACCTGGTTGTAGAAAAGCTCTTTAAATTCGTTAGCATAGCTAGCTAACCAGATGCTAATAACAACAGCTCGCCACTGTGCTTACAACTAAAGACACAGCCACGCAAACACTGTGGCATGTGTACGGCTCCTTATGGGTACTGTAATATTTGAAGAGCTGGAGCGGCGTTCCGGGTTCGGGTGCTCTCCGTCACCACTCCTTTCAGACGAGACATATACCACGTGAAGACACGTTATGCTCGTGTTGTGTTCAAGGAACCTGTCCTCGGCCAAGAAAAACAGTCACTCGCTCGTTTAATTATTTTGCGATCTAGATTTCTTCTTCTTTTTTGAAGTGAGAAGTTGTCCATCAGTCGGATGGACGGCCTGACGGACACCCCCCCCCAAAACGAAAACTCTTCGGTTTTCCACGAATTACACAAGTCACCCAAATCAGCGTTAAAAAAGCGGGAGGCGCCGAAAAGCGACTAATTTGCATCACTGTTATATCAAACAAGTTCAGTATCCACATTGTCAGAGTGTATAATGATGCATCTCTCTTGGGCTGACCAGGTGTTGTGTTATTGACTTGAGAAGCGCTGCTGGGCATGATGGGAGTGACGATGGGCGGGGCGATCCCTGCCGCCATGTCCAACAGAGGCTGGATGATGTCACTCTTGAAGACCGCATTCTTCTGCCACAGGTTCAGGACTCGCACTATCTTACTCTGGAAACACAGACCAAGAGAGCAAAAGCAACTGTGAAATAAGAGTAAAAGGTAATGACATGTGCGACCAAAAAAATTGCTGATATGATAGAAGAAAATAGAGTTTATAACCATGTTAAAAGCTAGAAGTCTGACAGAATCACGTTTATAAAACAAAGGCTTTTATCAGATGCTTTTTTAAATTTATATATATATATATCACTAATTTTAAATGCATCATTAATTATATTTTCATTTATTTCACTTCAACTGCCCTTCACATATTGCGGGCCAATTCACTTGGTCGCAAAAATGAAATAAAGTGGGGCCCATTTCTATCCGTGACCTATTCCTCAAAACACAGCTTTCTGTAAAACTGCGGAATAAATCAAGGGGTCTAATACCCTCCCTCATGAAACCATGACAAGATACGAAAGCCACATAGGGGAACACAAAGCCATTAAAATCTGTCTGACCTTATCATCTGAAGGGCAGCGGTAGAGGTGCTGGAACGTGGCGATGATGTTCTTGCTGAAGCGTGGAGCAAAAACGTCCTTCTCCATGCCAAACTGGTGACGCGACTGCCTGACGATGGAGTCCACCACGTAAAGGCCGGGCACCTTGTATTCTGGTTTGCACTGTCGATGGGGAAATGGAGAGCTGAGTAAGGATCATTTTATAACAGGGAACATTTTGAATGCAAAACTGAAATGATGTTGTACCTATTACGCTGATAAACATACAAATAAAAATCGCTTTCAAACTGAATGTATAAACGTTTAAATGACAACTCACCTTTTGGATGAACTTCTCCACACTCTGGACAACATGCTTGTAGAACTGAAAGAGAATAAACAAACATTTTTAGTTTTATGTACTTGTAAAAAATGTATACATTTAATTTCATCCTCAATGCTGTTTGATCCTCATTTAGAAAGGACACTTCTTTGTTGTATGGTAAATTGTTAATGTAGGAAGGTGTAAAAGAGGCGAAGTGAGCAAAGAACACAATTATTTTTCTTGAATGGGTAAGAATGGGTTTAGTGAATGTTCCTCTACTGTTCCTTTGGTGGCCTTTGCAGAGTATCTTATACAAGAGCAGAACATTTTTTTTTTTAAATAAAAAGAGGAGGGCATTCTTTAAATGTTCCCTTAGCTAATAACTTAAGACAAATGTTTGTATGTTAGCAAGTAAGAAAGGTTGAAGTAACTCAATTAGAATACAATTTGAAAAGAGCAGAATGTCTAACAGGTGGTTCATTCCATAGTCTTGCTAGATTCTGTCTATGCACTCTTTTGTCAAATAGGGCCATTACTACATATCATCTCCAGGCAGCAAGAGGTGAGTAGAGGTTAATTGATAGCAGGCAGTGCTCTGTAGTTACTGGATGGACCTTTATTAAATGTTTATGACAGGCTTAACTATGTAATATATTGTTGTTGTGAGGTGTGACAAGAGACACAAATATAGAGCTAATAACCAAAGTTAATAACCTCAATGTTAGTAAATAGGCGCTTTCACACCGGAGTACTTTTCCAAGTATAGTTCTGAAAATGTGCGTTCACACCAAAAAAATCCGGAACTTAGTTCATGAGAACCTTCCCACCCCCTTTTCAGTCCCTGCTAGAGAACAGGTACTTTCGTGGGAGAAAAAGGTTCACATTTCTGATTGGCTGGGCGGATTGCAAACCACACCCCGTACAACTCCCAAAAGGTTTTGTGAAGCCGCCATTTTATTATCCTCGCATTAGCATTATTAGCATTAGCCCAACACACCAACGGAGAGAGACTAACTTATGGCAACACAAAATAAAAAGTGGGAGCGGTGGAGATGAGGAGGTGTCGGCGTTCTGGCGGTTTACTCGGAAGGCTTCAGTAGAAGCTGCTGGGAGTCCCACTAGCTTCTACTGAAGCCTGTGCCCAACTCCGGGGACTTCCGGCCGGCCAGTATACGCCATGAAGTTGTTTGCGGCCTGCCAGTAAACCCAAAGCAGAAGAAGAAGAAGAAGTGACGTCAGTGGCTTCATTTGCCTAATCCTCCGTTAGGGACTTATTCCGGTGTGAACGCGATCTGCTCTTTAGTTCAGTTGAGAGCACCTATTGTTCATGGAGCTATATACAGTTGCAAGAAAAAGTATGTGAACCCTTTGGAACTACCTGGATTTCTGCATTATATGTTTTTATTGAACACACCATGTAAACGTTCACAGTGCAGGGTGGAAAAAGTATGTGAACCCTTGGATTTAATAAGTGGTTGACCCTCCTTTGGCAGCAATAACCTCAACCAAACGTTTCCTATAGTTGCATATCAGACCTGCACAACGGTCAGGAGGAATTTTGGACCATTCCTCTTTACAAAACTGTTTCAGTTCAGCAATATTCTTGGGATGTCTGGTGTGAATCGCTCTCTTGAGGTCATGCCACAGCATCTCAATTGGGTTGAGGTCAGGACTCTGACTGGGCCACTCCAGAAGGCGTATTTTCTTCTGTTGAAGCCATTCTGTTGTTGATTTACTTCTGTGCTTTGGGTCGTTGTCCTGTTGCATCACCCATCTTCTGTTGAGCTTNGATGTTAAGTTATAAACGGGTGCGCGCCCGTGCCTCGCAGAAGGGAGCGCATGAAGCAGACCCTTCACGCGTCTTACCAGTTCTTATGCAACTCGCAAAATTTGCGAGTTGCATAAGAACTGGTAAGACGCGTGAAGGGTCTGCTTCATGCGCTCCCTTCTGCGAGGCACGGGCGCGCACCCGTTTATAACTTAACATCTCTGTCTCCTACTGATGTGAGTATATTATAAAGAATAGCCAGTTAATTGAAGCATTATATAGACCCTCCAGAAAAACGCGGGCTGAAATCCTTGATTATGCGGGCTAAAATCCTTGATTATGCGATTAAACATGCAGGGTTTTTATGTGATTTTATGCGGTGAAATTGCGGGAAGTTGCGAAATATGCGGAAAGTTGCGAAATATGCTAAATATGCGGGGGAAAAGAATAAAAA